AAAACATGTTGGATACATTCTAATGACTTGTACAACTAGTTAAAATGGTAATTATTTTTTTGTAAATGTAAGTACTTTTTTGTTATATTTGTTTAAWTWTATAKATCTAAATACTTTTTGGTTCAAAAAATATTTAGGGGCTTAATCGTTCAAAATATGAATGTTCATTGGTTTTTTTTCCCCATTTTTTTACTATTTTACCACTTTATTTTTTTTCAAAAAGTTATTTAACATGTTTTGGATTGTTCAAGGACTTATTTGTTCCAAAAATTGTCCAATGACTTATTTAACATTTTTTGGAATGTTCAAGGACTTATTTGTTCCAAAAATTGTCCAAGAACTTATTTAACATTTTTTGAAATGTCCAAGGACTTATTTGTTCCAAAAATTGTCCAAGGACTTATTTAACATATTTTGGAATGTTCAAGGACTTATTTAACATATTTTGGAAAGTTCAAGGACTTATTTGTTCCAAAAAAAAATTCAAGGACTTAATCATTCCAAACAATAAAGTTCATTGGTTTTTATTGTACTTTTCCCTATATATATTGAATACATATATATATATATATATATATATATGTGTGTGTGTGTGTGTTCAATTATTGTTATGTAAATGACAAATAGAGTTATATGGGGCAAACGAATAAAAAAATTTGGGTGTAATCAACAAAAATGAATAGTCTAATTAATTTAATGTTTTGATAATAATTACATCAATAAAAAAAAAAAAGCAAAGTTCGAGAAAAAGAAAATTAGGATTGTGATGCCTAAAAATGTCACTTTATTGTTGGTGTTTTTTCTTACAAAATTACAAATTTAAAAACTATAAAAAAAACATAAAAACAAAAGTGAATCTACAACAAAAACAAAAATAATCAAAATTCTCACAAAATTCTAAAGCCTCAATGGAGACTTCTCCTTAATCCAAGTTCCAATGTCTTCTTACATATATTGATAAACTTGTGTATATTTTTCTGCCATAGATGAGAGATGAAAAAGAAGAAGGGAGAGCGTACCAGTAGTTTGAAGCTCCTACATGGAGATGAAGAACACATAAATTAAAAAAAAGCAGAGATTGAGAGATTTAAAGATCAAAGTTGAAACGTACCAAGAGAAGGAGAGGAGTTTTTGAGTTAAATGCGAACATTAATTTGCAAAATTACTAAGAAAAAAAAAGTCAAATATTTTATAGATTATTATATGTGAATCAACTAACATGAAATCTTTTAGCCATTATATATATATATATATATATATATATATATATATCTATATTTATATGTATGGAGGGAGAGAGAGTTGTTGTTTTTAATATAAATTAAACAATAAAATAAAATGTTATATATCTATACTACATATATAACCATTTA